ATAGAGTGCTCTCAAAATAACAAATGCAAATAGGTTCTTTCCTGTCCATTTCATTTTAAACTGCTTCTACTTGACAGAGAATTGTTTTTTTGTAAGTACATACTAATTGAATAAATATTGGATGGTCAAAAAGTTTGGTTTATTAAAGAAAATACAACAGTTTTTTTTTAATTTTAACATTAGTGGGCAATATATTTACCATTTTGTTCTACATTCTTCTGTTATTTTTTCAAGCAATTTCATAATTCGTTTCATAACATTTGTTCAATTTCTCACCAAAGAATTAGCCTCTAGGTAACTTTTGTAGTCTCCTAGGAAACTGACATTTTTTTAATTCCAAAAATTCTGTAAAGACCAGGATGAATGGGAGAGATGAGCTGGTAGTAAAATCCAAGACATTGTGATGTTTACTATCACGATGGTGTTTTTTTATAATTTTGAAAGTATTTTGGTACATGTCTACTAAAATATAAAAAATTTCCGTTTTTAAATTCTATTGTTTATCAATCAAAATAAAAGAAATAAATTTACTGTAGTGTAAACAAATAAAATAATGGAAGATTTAATTCCTTGTAGAAGGGTGAAGGCAAAACTGTGTGAAAGGAAAAGTGACACCAAACAAGGTACTATACCATTTGGTATTACCGTTTTAGTACTGAGATAATTACTGGAATTTCACAACCAAACTGACTCTACTGACCAGCCAATGACTTCAGTAACTTACTTTGTATCACCCTGAGTAGGAGTTTATTTACCTAAAGGTTTTTTTTTATCCCAAGTACACCAGCTGCATAATTCATCCATATAACACAAGAATATTGGACAGGAGAATGTAACCAATTAAAAAGACAAGTGGTGTTTCATGAAAATCACCCTAAAATATTTCAGGTCAGGCTAAGGGCTACAACTGGTAACATGTAACCTAACTTGGCATACAGACGACAATTGGCATCTAAACCAGCTCCATCAGTAACTTTTATACTGGTGAGGGGGTGGGGGTGGCATGTCACTCCACAGGACAAAAAAACAAAACTTGTGAGCTTCATACAAAAGCCAACAACAAATGTGTATATATGTAAAATATTTTTATTTACAAAATATTTTACATCATGACATGGAAATTTCTGTTTCAGAACTTAAATCTGTTCCATTATCAAGTGATGTTGGGTAATTTTTGATGAAAAGAATTTACTTTTAAAAACAGAATGGTATTTTATTTAAGATTTAAGTAGGAGGAAGGAACAAGATTTAAACTTTTTTTTTTTTTATGGGTATGTCTTCTTTGTCAAAGAACCATTCTGTTTTCAAAAGTAAATCATTTTCATCAAAAGTTACCCAACATCACTTGATAATGGAACAGATTTAAGTTCTGAAACATAGAAATTTCTGTGTCACGATGTAAAATATTTTTAAATAAAAGCATTATAATATTAAGCTCTATGTTGTATTGAGCACTTTTAAAAAAAAAAATGCTAAAGAACTGCGGATTCTAAACCTGACTGTTCTTTCTCTTTATTTGGAGATACACACACGATGCGATGGGTAAATTATCGCCATATTATATTTTTAATTTTGCACATGTGTGTCATTTATTTTTTATTTTGTCAACTGCACAGTATAGTAGGGTCATTTGGACACTGTCTGTGAGAAAAAGAGCACCATGACATAATTCGTTCAACCAGAAATGTGGAAACAGCATGCTGTATGTACTGCTTGGTATTCACACAAGAAGCTCCAATACAAGGATTTCAGAGTGTTTGGATGTCAATCTGAGGACAGTGCAGAGGATTTGGAAAGAACTGGATGAGTCTAATGGTGGTTACAAAGGTGTTTGAAGTGATCACTAGTGATGGCAATATTATTCTTACATTGATCTTCCCACAAGGCTTCATATTCAACAAGGAGACCTACAACAAGTGCTTTGAGGAGGTAATACTTCCCTGGATCAAGACAGTAGCTGTTGGAAGACCCTATGTCCCACAAGCAAAAGAAGCCAGTCATGACTGTCAGACAATTTCTGCAACTATATCATCCCCTTACATCTGGCCACCTAACTCCCCAGACTGCAAACCCCCTTGATTATCATGTGTGCAGTGCAGTTCTGTGAGAGACCAAAAAAACTCCTTGTAACATCAAAATGAACTGAAGGCAAGGATTATGGCAGCATTTACCAACTTAAACAAGGAGACCACCCAGGAGAGTTGCAGGAGATTCCAAAGTCGTCTGGAGGCAGTAGTTGAATCCAATGGCGATTTTTATTGAATAAATATACTCTTTAGCATTTCAAGATATTTGTGTAATTTTGGTAAATATATCTCTTTAAATGAGATGTCAGTATCATGTTCAATTTTGTGCAATTTATACGACAATTTATCCATCGCATCAAAATTTCACAATAGGAGTATACAGAACTTTAGTGAGTTTCATTGCTTGCCATAATTTGTTTCAAAAACAGAACATTTTCATTATCTTTAATTAACATGAAAATAGCATCAGGTTGATTTTTTTTTCATTCATGTGGAAGCCACAAATCAAAGTGATTAACATAACCAATCTAGTACAAATGTTTTTCAAAATTTGTTTTGGATATTTCAAATTTGTTGGATATCTTCCACATCATCTAACACTGATTATTTTCAAGTGATATCAACTTTGACTGGTCAACCCCCAACTACAGAGTATCATTATTCAGCAAGAAATCTCTTTGCAAATCACTTTTGACATTATTTACACTCAGACTATTGTCCTCATCTTTGTTGTTGTTATCACAACATTTTGATCGTTGTGCCCTCAGCCTTCACCAGGAGCTTGTTGAACCATATAACATTCAGGGATTTTCTTTATTTGATCTACATGGGTGGGGTGGGGATTCCTAGAAGATTATTTGGATCAACAAGCAACTAGAGAAGGTCAAAGGCACAATGATCAAAGTGTTCTGACAGCCACTCAATTTACACAAGTCATTTTTCTGTTTCAGTTACACTTTTAATTTTTTTAAAATGAAAAAAAAAAAAAATGAAAATGTTGATTATTTCACTTTCATTGTGTGGAGAAAATACCTAAAAAACAGACATACACAAATTTTGAGAATTAAAAACAAAAAGAAAACATGCTAACATGACAACTGTTTACAATTCAGAAACAATCATTTTTAATGAAGCTAATTAAAAAACAAATGCCTGTAATGACATTTGACAAAAACAGCAATTTGAAGCCAACCCCATAAGATTTCATTTGCTAATAAAATGTTTAATCATTGCTTCAGTAGCACAAAACACAACATTTTATGCAGTCTCACAGTTAGAAAAGTGTAAATTGCTTCACTGAAAATGAAGACTATTTGCTCCTCATATTTCAAACATTGACAAATTTGCTTCTTTTTTCTTTTTTTTTGTCACTTATAAACTCAAAGTCACTGTTATTGATATTTATTGAAGTTAGCTTAGAATATAGAAAGTTGCAGAACATTCAATTTAGATAAAAACTTAACCTATTAATATCCACCATCTGATTTTGGGGATGGTAGACATTGATGGGTTTTAGGTAGAAACTTATAATTACTATTGGATTTTTATAAACTTATTAATACCAATTTTTTTTTTATAAACCTATAATGGCGGCTTTTATTTGTATGAGAGTTGGCTGAAAAGTTCATAGGCTGACTATAAAGTAGAGATACTAGAGCTGTGAAATCTTGCATGCATTAATTTCAACTCTCTTTCTTAATAACTTTATTGTTTCTTTCCCAGTACGATGACAGGCTGGAAAGTTCATTGGTTGACTATAAAATAGTGATGCTAGAGCTATGAAATCTTGCATTAATTTCAACTCTTCTTATTAGTAACTGCTTTGTTTCTTTCCAGGTAAACTTATATCTGAACAGTTCAAAGAAGACTTCAACTGTAACTAGTAGTGACTTCTCTTGAAAATGGACAAAATTTGGCATCATGGGGTTATCAAGTACCTGCAGAAAAAGGATTTAGCCCCTAAAGACATTCATGCTGACATCATTGCTACATTATTATTTATCAACTGTGCAAAAGTGGGCAGCTGAATTTAGGAGCAAAAGGGAGAGTCTTGAAGATTACCCAGGGTCTAGACATCCTGCAATTGCCACCACTGAGAAAAACATTAATTGTATTTACCACATGGTGATAAATGACAGGTGATTGACTATAAATCAAATAGCCAATGATATTAGCATATCCCATGACAGGGTTGAGAATATTCTGCACAATGAACGTGGCATGATAAAGGTTCCTGCTTGGTGGGTGCCATGACTTCTAATACCTAATCAAAAGTGCACCAGAATGATCACATCACTAGAAAATCTGAAATTGAGGCAGATCCAGCTGGTTTCCTAATCCAGGATGAATGTTGAGTCTATCACATTGAGCCATTGAAAATCCATGCAGTGGAAATACCCCTCCTCACCTGCTCCAAAGAAGGCTAAGCTGTAGGGAAGATGCAAAAGGTATTTTGTTTATTGACTATCTTTGAAAAATCTCCACCATCAATGGAGAGTACTGTGCCACCTTGCTGAAACCCATAGGAAAATTGACAAAAAAAAGGGTTATTTCATCAGGACAATACTCCAGCACAGAAGTCCTTGGTTTCAATGTTGGCTGTATGTGACCGGTTTTGAACTGGTTGATCACTCTCCCTATTCTTCTGATTTGGCCCTATGTGACTATCAACTGTTCACCAATATGATAAAAAAAAAAACTTGGCTGGAACCAGTATCACATTGATCATGTTGTATCTACTAAGACTTTTCTTACCAACAGGATAAAAGCTTCTTCAACAATGAGAAACTAGTACTGCTAGTTTTTGCTTGTTAATTTCCAGCTGAATTAAATAGGTACAGTGTTGGTCAGACAGGCCTCCAATGACTAAGGATGCAGGAACTGATTTCATTTGAAGCTTGATTTTTTTTTTTTTGTTATTAGATATTAGCAATGTCAGCCATTATTCTTTTTCAGTAGTATTTCTTTCATCTTAATTTTAGTTGCTTTTCATTATAATTTACTCTGTCCATTAATCCTAGACAGTGAAAATAAAGCATAAATCAAAAATAAAGATCTAGACAAGACTTGAACTCCCATCATTTTTATGTTGGGAAAACTACCTGCAGCTATTCTACTGACCTAGCTATAAGAGATTTTACAAGAGGCAGAAGATCAAAACTAACCTTGTGTTATGTTTTTCTTGATCACTCAATGCCATCAAAACAGTATGAGTTTAATGATTAGATTCAGCCATGTATCACAGAAGAAATGAAAGTGTTTGCAAAACTAATGGCAGTAAGCTTGCTTGGGAGCAAGAGTTAGCAATCCAGTCTCACATCCCAGTTCAATTCTCATTCATCACCCCGACACTTGTAACAAATGACAAATAAATAATCTAAGGTTAGTAGAATGTTTTGTGTAATTGTTAGTGATTTGATTTGTGCTATGATGAAGAAATAAATTTAAACAGCTTGAAAAGAATGATTATATCAGATTATATATGAGCCCTTGTTATATTCTGTGCTAATAAAAATATATATTTGAAAAACACAGTGGATAAATAAGTAAAGGTTTATTGTAAAAACCAGTACAATAAGAATAAAGGTAACAGTTATGCACAAGGTCATTGCAAGTCAATCCAGTAGTGAGTGCTGCTATTGGAAGGTCAGTACTCACGTAAGTCTGAGTCATACTCAACAGACCCCAGCTAAACTCTGTAGTGTGTTGGCTTACAGATACTTATAGATAGTTACTACCTATAGTGTAGTCACTCATGGGGGTGACAAGTTATTCCATTACATCAGCTCTATTGGTACCATGTGACCCAATAATATCTGCCATATGGTCAGGTTATCAGACACTAAAATGGTTTCTCCACCAAGCTTTTCTGGTCGGGAGGGTGGCTAGACACCCAACAGGATTAAAAACAATACCTGTCAATGGGTGGATGAACTTTATTGCAGGATCAATAGCCATTTAACTTAATGGGGTAAACTGGGCTCCATGGTTAGATATGCAACCACTGTGGTGAATACCAAAGTCAATGGCCAGTGGGGTGGTGTCCCCCTCCCAATGGAATCAACAGCTACATGACTATGATCAAAGTGAGCCTTCAAGTCAGTGGACATCAACTGTGGTTTGACCTGGAGAGGAATGGGCTCCGCCAGGTCTAATTGTTGACATGCATAGCATTCAAATCATAAATTTAAACCTAAATTTACATTAAACTTTTATCACTGTATCAATCCTTCATACTGGACAATGGACAAGACCTTTTTTCTAAGGTTTTTAAAGTTGTATGGTTGAAGACCTTTCTGGTCTTCAACCATACAACTACACTCAGTTGTGATAATGATGATGAAAAAAATGGCAAATAAAGAGTTTTGCCCTATGAACCCAGACAAATAGTGCTAAACAAAAAGAATAAATTAAAAACAGAACATTGAAATTATTATTATTTATCCAAACTACTAATCAGGTTATCTGTCAGGATGCATCCCATCATAGGGGTTTCAGTTGTGCATATATTAGAAGACACAGGGTATTTATTCTATATGTTCCCACAATTTTCCATCAGAATTGGAATAATTAGATCCCATTCATTGTTCAATATGAAGGATCTTTTTTGCATGATGACATTGTAAGTTCAATGTTACAAATCTGATCTGTTAGGTTCTGCCATTGACCACATCCAACCTCCTACTGCTGATTTGATCATCATAACACTGGCGTGGGTGGCTTCTAGGTAATATGCCTTTTCAAAGGGCAATCCATGATTTGAATCACATACAGCTTTGCAGCTCGGAATGAGAAATCAGAGTGCAAATTCAAGTCAAGTTCATTACATTCACTTAAGCACAAATAACCCTTGGGAAAGGTATGAATCCATATCTCTTTCAGCTACGGGTTAAATAGCAGGACAGACTGAGCTCTCTAGCCTTGAATTCCAAACTGGATGTGACTCTGGGACCAAATCATGGGTTACATTTTGGCAAGACATAGCAACAAGAAGCCACTACTGACAAGGTTATGTTGAAGACATCAGCAACAGGATGTTGGATGTGGTCAATGGTAGAATCTAACAGACGAGATTTGTGGCACTGAACTGCAATGGTGTCATGCAAAAAGATCCTTCATACTAGACAATGGACAAGACCTAATTATTCCAAGTCACAGGAAAAATTGTGTGGAACACATAGAATAGCCTTGTTTCTCCTAAGATATATGCCTAACCAAACCCTCAGGATAACACATAAGGGTATCAGATGACTTATTAGATATGTCTGTGTTTAATCAAGAAAAATTAGGACATTATCTGCTGTATGTTATTATGTGTTTTTCTCAATATGACATGAGGCATACCGGAGACTGAAAAATTTCCCACGGGGAAATAAGAACATCTAAAACATATATTATCTCTAAGGTATCCTGTAGGTAAAGAGAAGAAAGAGAATGAGACTTTTGCACCCTTCTTGTATACTGCTTTAGTAACACCATCTAGTGGTCATTAGCAGAAGATTTTTGGCAGACAAGTGGGGTAATCCCACAAATTCACAGGCACAATAGTTAGTTTTGTCCAACTATTTAAACATTGTAAACTATTAAATAAAAAGCATGAATTGTGTTTAAGGGTTAGAAAAAGCATTATGAATAAGTAAGAACACTGTGTCTATTGTTTTCTTCTTAATGACCATATCCAACTTAGTAGATCTAAGATACACTGTACGTTACATTTGACTGAAAACAGGAAACACAATCTTCTTACCTTTTCCAATTTAGCACTGCTCCAGATCAAAACTAAGCTTAAAAGAAAATTTAACTAATAAACAAAGAAGTTATTCATATCTAGTTTTTTTTAAAGAAAGTGTTAGCCTCCTTAAATAATTTGTCAATATTAGGAAAGTTGTTTTAAATAAAATACACGTTTTGAGAGTATTTTTCTAAGGTTTTTAGAAACTTGCAATATTTTCTTTGTGTAAGAAAAAACATCTCTTGTTCTAATTTATTTATCTAAGAGAAAAAAGAAAACAAAAAATTTGAACTTATTTATAAAAGATTTTTTTAAAAATGTTTTATTTTGAAAAGTGAAAACCAAGTTCATAAGTATACTAATTGCTTTTTTTATGATGTCGAAGGAAATTTAATTTAAATAAGACAATATGAAAAAGAAAGAAACTGGATATAGAGAAGAAATTTTAAAAATCATGACAAAAAAATAAGTCTCTAGAGACAACAACATTAAGTTGTATGAATAAAATATGAAAAAATAGCTGTCATAAAAAATAAATCGTATACTTCTTTTTAAAGAAAATATGTTATTTTTATTTAGTTGTAGATTCAAAAAGGGTTATATTTTTTAATCAATTTTATCTACATTTGAATTTCAAATGTAGATAACTAACATCATAAAATTAATTTAAAAATAATACTTTTTCCGTTCGTGTAGTCTACTTTTATTACGTCAAAAATATTGATTCTTTAGAAGAATTTGACATATTTTAAATTTTAGTAGTTCGTAAGTGGGGTCGGTCTTTTATGTGATGTTGTGTATTTTTTTCACACCTGATGAATTTTAGGGTTTTTTTTTTTTCTTAAAAAGTTTATCTGAGCCACGCCCAGAAATCTTTTAGATTTAAAAATAAAATTTAAACTGACACCATAACAATATTAACATAATTATTTGAAAAAGAAAACTAACTAGAGAGGCAGACAAACAACGGATAATTCTTTTAAAATAAATAAATAGATTCTCCAATTTATTTTAACAATAATTCGCAGACAGAGCTCAGCAGTTATAACAACAGACAAGAGGTCGAAAGGTCTGAGGTTCCGTCCTAATTTTTTTTGAGTGGATAAGGTTCGTTTAAAAAACACATGTTCAAAGCGAAACACTGATTTCAAAATAAGTGCAATAAATAAAAGAAAACAAACAAACTCCTATCTCAAATGGACAGTCTAGACTCTAAAATATTCGTTAAAAAACTAAGTTAAAAAATTAAAGATCCTTCTTAAATAAACAAACAGAAAAAATAAATATTTACAAAACTTTTATGGTTTTTTTTCGAATTTTCTTTAACAACAAGGGGTACATATGTTATTAAAGAAATAATATATCTCCTCAAATGAACAAACCTATCTTTATTTTTTACTTATCTATTTTTTGTTGTTATCATAATCACGGATTTTACAAGTAAATTAACTGATGCTCGATTTTCAAGAGGTTTTTCGATCAAAACAAAGTAAAACGTACAATAAACAGTGTCATCAAGTCAGTACCGGGAACAATAGCTGAATTATGACCCACATTCCAACACTCTACATACAACACATATCTTCATTCATAAGTTGTTGTTTTTTTGTTTTGTTTTCCTGTGAGATGTATAGTTGTTTTTTTACCTGCTTAAGGTTAGTCCATGGGTGGCAAAAGTGTCAGTCAGCTGAGTCTTTAATTCGTCCGCCATCTTGCCCCTTCCCACCTGATTAAATAAATATCGGCGACTTTTTTTGTCCACTTCGACTGATCGATCTTGAACCGATTGGATTTAAATCAAAATGGCGATTTATATTATTGCTAAAAATGTAAAGCAACTGAGTTATTATCGCATACAGGGAGCGAAATATTGAATACGTAACAAAACTAACAGAGCTAGCCACACAAGTTTTACAAGGGAGGTAAGTCTATGCCTGGCAACAAGATCACACGCTCATTGTCTTTGGTCTTCTTTGAAGCAGACGAAAAAAAATAATTAATTAAACTGATATTCTTAACTAACAGAATAAAATATTGACTTTCATCCTGTAAAAGTGTATTTATTTCTGTTTTTATTATATATTAAACTAATGAACATCTTGATATTATACATAAATTTTCTTTGTTCTAGGGTAAATTGAGACATGGTGAAATTTTTTATCTTTCAGGGATAAACTCTGTAATGAAAATTATATACAATTATAATTCTATTATTCCAAGTAGTGCTACAGTTATCAGCACAATAAGTTGAATTGACAAGTTGACTTTTGGCCTAAATCTGTTGCGTTCATTTTCACTTGGGGAAAAATTGAATCTATCTCTTTTCGTCTTGTGTTCATGAAAAAAAATAGATAAAAATTCATTATAGTTTGAAAAGCATAATTATAATACAATAATTATAACAATTATAATTATTATTAATTCACTCATTCTAAACCAATGACAATCAACCCCACTTTTCTTCTCTACACATACAAACATGTGACATTCTCACTATTGGACAAGCAGTTCACACAGACAGGTCATTAACATGTGCATCAACGAAAATTAAATTTCCTTTTCAAGCCATAATAGAAACATTTATCCTTTAGCACTCAACAAAAATTCAAAGTAAGAAAACCACAAACACTTCTTGTAATTTCTAACAAAATTATCTGGACACTCATTATACACATCTATAAAAAAACAAATGAGAAAGACTGTATAAAATTTACTTATTCTTTATCTTATCCTTCTTTCAGATTCTGATCCATATTTGATCTACATTTGACTGCAAACTCACAATTTTACTCAGTATTACTCTTTCATTTCTCCAACACCACGTAACAACCAAATAATAAATAACACTCATTTTATTGTTTCTACATCTTGCTGTTTCTTCTTTTTACAAGTATTTTTGTATATATAAATATTAGGGAGTTTATAATTATTTACTCAGGTTTGTAATTCCCCCACACTCTCAGAGGTGGGTTAAATAGCATGGTAGACTGGTCTCTCTAGCTTTGTATGATAACCAGTTTAGGGGAAAGACTACTCTGAATTCAAATGCATGGAGGAAACAACAGGAAACCACTATATTTTCCAAGAAGTTATGGCAATTCACAGATAAAGAAAAGGAATCTGTGGAGAGCCATAATCACGTACACTCTGAAATGACATGGAATTAAAAAAAGATACAGTCGGAACACAAAGTTGCAAAAATTGATACAATTTTTGAAATTCACTTGTGATGCATAAATAAACTCATTAACACAAATGGTAGTATTATGGTAATGGTGGTATTAACCATTTCCTAGAGTGGAAACATTTGACATTTATTGACTGACCAGCCAGTGCTACTGACAGTTGAAATTTATAAAATCTTTCTATTAAAACAATTTTTCAGGAAAAAAGGTTTCTCAAGTCTACAGTTATTGCTCTTTCCAGTATTGATGGGGGTTTCCTTTTTATCTTTTTTGTTCAGTTGAGACTTTTGAAAATACACAAAAAAAATACATTTTCAAATTACCACCACAACTACATTTTCATCAAGTAAAACCAAACTTGGTGTCACCTCATACTGACATAGTATTAAGCACATCATGTGACTGTCTCAACCAATAGGGATACTATACAAATAATATTAAATTTCAGCATTTATTTGAAGTCTATCTCTGTTCTACATAAGAGAAAAGACTAAAAGCCACACACAGGAGCATATACAGGAACACATAATGGGAACACACAGCTGGCACACTGAACACATTCGCTTACACTATTCCAAAGAAAGCTTTCTCATTTCACTACTCCACCATACAGAGAGATCAACACCAACAAGATAAAATACTTACCCAAACAATCATCTACATTGACCTCAAAACGAACTTTGTAAGCGAGTTAATTATATCTGTTAAGATTGATGTCATGGCCCAAATGCAAAATAAATAACACAAATGTTCAACGAACAGAATAATATTTGTAATAGAAAGAAAGCGGGGCAGAAATTAAATGGTATCAGATAAGCAAGCAAACAATATAAGTAAATTCACAGGTAAGAAAGCAAAACAGTTTACAAACCATGAATTAGCGCCTACACAAAAAAGCTAGGTCAGTCAAGTGAACTCAATGATTTTCTGTATAGAGAAGGTAGACCTAGTCTGAGTCAAGTTAAATGGTAAATCAACCTAGTTTATTAACTAAGAAAAGTATCCCATCATGCATTATGTGGATTTTTGCCTATAAAAAAGGAGGGGGAAAACTTTTTCAATCATTCCATCGGAATCAACAATATTCATAAATATATATGTATACACACACTCACACATATACTTTCACACCTATATATATTGCACACATACTCACACCTACACACCTCCATGCATACACAGACATTTGTTGTTCCAAATTTTATTTCACTTGACTTTTAACGCTTCAAAGAACTCCTTTTCTGTTTTCTTTAATTGTCACCATTATTATTAAATTGTTTAAGTTTGTTTGACGGCATTGTTTTATTCCTTATTTTGGACATGGAAAGGTTTGTTTGTGGAATGTCATTATCTTGATTATGTCATTGTTTTCTTTTTGAGTTTCATGTACTATCCATCTTAGTTGTTGTTACTGTTAAAAGTTCTCAAGTGATGTTGTTTCTCTTATTTGGTCCAGTTCTTTGTGACACTGAGCTGATAAAGAATGATCCTACAGGTTTTATTGACTATTAATAAAACATATAGATAGTATCAAAGCAAATAATTTATTTAAAGTAACATCCATTATTTTCAGTTACAACCTAAATACAACCATGAAAATCTGTGCAACTCTTAACCACAAAGTACTTTGCCTAGTCTTCCTTGACAACCTTGTGAGTATTGATGTTGAAGTGGGAGATGTTGTAAATTGATTGTTCCAAAATACCCAACACTGCATAATCTTGTGACTTCAGGTCCAGGCTGGGAGAGAAGCAGAAGTTATAGAGAAAGATGCATTTTGCATATTCATATCACATCAGTTTGTCATCTTTAGTAAAGGTTTGAGGTTTGTTTTGGAATGAGGTTGAGAACTTCCAAGGAAACTGAATTCAACATTCTCAGAATGAACACATTTCAACACAATGGCATAGAAATAAATTTCTAGCATACAACCTATGTTTTCTGGTGACATTCCAATACCTAATACTGCAATACTTAAACAAAAAGATCTTGTGGGTTATCCCATTTGACTTTGCTTAAAAAACATTACTGGGATGTGCTCCTTAAGCCTATCAAAAGGTGTGCATTTCTCTCCCAAGCTGCTTTTACAGCTTTTCAACTCTGGTTTTAAGATGTAGTTGTATGTAGGTAAAATGTCCACGACTGTTATTCCATGGTTTTCTCTCTTGACTTTTGTACTCTCTCACACATGCTTTTTACGCAAACACACGCACACAGTCAAGCACATTCTTATTCTAGCTAGTTTTATATTTTTTCCTTTCACCAAATGAAATTCCTTTGTTAATACATGTATTGTAATTTACAGTATTTACATTAGTCGGACTATTGTCCTCATCTTTGTCGCCATATTTGTCACAACGTTTCGGCCGTTGTACGCTCCGGCCTTCTTCAGGTGGTTGGAATTTCGAACTGAACCCTTTATTTCGATCACTGGGGTAGACTGTTCTAATTCCACGTGCCATGTTTGATGGATGTCAGTTATCAGTTATCTCCTGCTAATTTTCCCTCTGAAAGTTCTCCACTGCCTTAACCAGGAATTGAACTCACCTTAGTCCGACTAATGTAAATACTGTACATAATACCTCATCTCAGAAGTATTGTAATTTGTTTTATATTCATTGTTTTGTGTAATCATTTTTTACCTGGACTCACATTGAGTCTGCCAATATTGTTTGTGGAATAAATTTCCAGGATTTACTATCCAAAGTGTTGATTCACACAACATAATTTACCCAATCAAACTAGTATCCTGCAACAATGTAATCTACACTACTCTTAAAAGTGATTTTAAAAACATTATTTATGAATTTTTAAAAGAATTTAATTTCTCATGCTCAGCAGCAAGCACACAGAGCTGTAGGTTCATAAATATAAGTCTCTCTCTGCAGACACATTGTTAAAAGTTCACCTAGCATGAAAACCTGTTTAAAGTGTAAATGACTTATCTGGTCAGAGTCCAATATGTGTTAAATCTTAGGCTTTAAATATCTGCATCAACATCACTCAGCTTGGCAGTTCAGCATGAGGTGATGATGCTCATCCTCCACATGCGGAGATGACCTTGACTTCAAATTACTGGTTGGGGGGGGGGGATAAATAATAAGTCTGATCTTTACCCTAAACAGTCTGTTGCAGTTGTGACATTGGATGCTGGTTGCTGAACCAGGCTGGGAGGCAAATACCTCTCGATCTTTCCTTTTCTGGCATTTCTGTTCTTTGTCCCTGATTCTTTTCTCTTCAAAAGCAGACACTCCAGACTTTACAAGGGAGTGCCAGATGGCACAGTCCTCAGTAGACTCTTCCCAGGTGGAATGGGGAATGCTACAATGCTTGAGAGACTCCTTCAGCATGTCTTTGTAACACATCTTTGCTCTGCTGAGTAAGCGCTTCAGTATGAGGTAATGGATAAGAAAATAGTCAAAACAGTCAGGTTAAACATTGAGTAGTGATTTTTATTCTCTCTGGACCCCCAACACGTGTGGCTTTGTGCTAAAATAAGCTTAGCTTATTGGTAAGGCACACTTGTCTTAACAGTGGTCCTCTTAATGCAAAAAAGTGAATGTAGGTTCGATTCCTGTCAGGTAGCACATTTTCTTTAAAAGTACAGTAAAACCTTGAATTAACAGTCCTGAAACCATTGGATGTTGGATTTAACAGACAAAATCTGCAGAATCTGGCTGGAACTCAAAACGCCCATGTGTAGTGAGCAAAGTCCATTAGTTCCAGAATTGGCTGCTTCTGTTTACTGGCACAATCAACAGAGGCTGGTAGTTCCAGGAAAAGATGCTGTTTACTTGAGTACATTTCATGTACTCAAATGCATTGTTTCTCGAAGATTTTATACTGATTTTGGTACAATATACAGTATTGTTTTTAGTCAAGCCCTTCACTATGGTATCTAATCATAACGGAGATGAGAATTGGAACTTATTAAGAAGTTGGAGTTGGGAGTTTCCATGGCCACTATTTGTGTGTAATTTAAGTTACTATATAGTAACTTAAAAATAAAATACACATACATATATACTATACTTACATTTATTTACAATAATTTTGTACAGTACTGTATGTTTTTTAGACCATGAAAAAGTGCTTCAAATTAATAGAGAAATGGCTCTAACAGACGACCATTAAATTAGGGTTCCACTGTATCTGTAAATGGTTTTATAGGTGAACACAGATGGGATTTTTTAACCAAAAATTAAACAGTTTTGTCTGTGATGTGTATATGCACAAATTATATATTCACTCTCTGAATGAGATTTTAGGACATTTTTAGTTGTTTCACTCCAAGCAAGGCATTAAAGCCACTAAGATGCAAGAGGTTACTGATTGTTAAATAATGTAAGAAAAAGAAAAACATTATTAAAGAGAGAGAACAGTAAAAGATAGTGCTGAAACAGGGAACACAGATTGATGAATTAAAATGAAGACTTTGGAGTGGGGGGGGGAGCATCTAAGCTCACCCTGTTACATACAGCACACTACACTAACTTCTTCAGAGATAATATGGTCTGCACTGTTGTTGCTGCACTGTCACTGTTGCTCATTTTATTTTGTCAATGTATCATTCCCTGTTTCAGCACTACTAGAAATATAGTATTCATGGTATTGTCACATGGTAGTGGTCTTGATTTTCACGGCTATTGCATGCTGACATTAGAAAGCTGGGAGCTAACCAGATTCTATAGGGATTTCACCTGGTGGTCATTGTGATTCTGTGGATATGTTCTAAATATAAAATTATTCTTATAAATAAACAAACTAATAAATAGTGTCTATTACTTTTGCCGTCAATTCTCAAGAACAAAGAAAATGTATAAATTCACTTTCATCTATCTAGGTTTTATTGAAATTCTAATCTTCGTTTTTTGAAACATTGCTGAGTGAAGGTAGTTAAAAATGACAGTGGTGTCAAGGAAAAAATTGTCCATTTGACATACTATTTTTTTGCATGTATGAAGGTCAAAAGATTACCTTCCATTAGAAATAAATAATAAATAAAAGGAGAAAATGTAGATCATGAATTGATCTTTCAAAAACTTTTCAAAATGTGTAAGAAAACAATGTGGCACATCAAAGTAAAGTTCAGACAAAACACCCATATAACAAAATGACTTCAGGTAAATTACAAAGGAGGAAAAAAGACCTTTTGCATTCCTTATTCTTGCTTAAACAAAATGTGTTCTCCTTGCCTCATATACATATTTTTAACACTTCACAATTAAGGTATTTTATTATAGAAAACAAAACAATTGATACTTCTTGGATGGCCACATGGCTACATAATTCCTTCAAATTTCTAAATAATTTTCTCTCCTGAAAATAAATGCGAATGTCAGTGTGTCACACTTTTTCAACTTTACTCCTAGAGGTCATAGGCAAACATAACATACCATTTTGGAATCAGACCGATTCCATGAGTAAATAAAAACATTCCGGTGTGGATCCCAACCCACATTCCTGAAATTTCGGACTCCCAAGTTTTCATTTCTGTGATTGTTTTCAGATTTTGCCATCTTGGCTTCTACTAATAAAAACAATTAAAGGGACACAACTCTTTCAATAGCTCATGTTCAAATGAAAAAGTTACTGTTCTCAAATTATAGTGTTTCAAAATAAAATTGACCATGTTTTTAATTTTACTCCTAGAGACCTGAGGTCAACGTATCATACCATTTTGGAATCAGGCTGACTCCATGAGCAAATTAAAAATGCTCTGGGCCAGATCCGAACCCACAATCCTGAAATTTTGGATTCCCAATTTTCATTACTGTGATTGTTTTTGGTAATTTTTTTTGTACAATAACAATTTTTATAATTTGGAACATGTTCAGATTTTTTGTCTGTTTGTTATTCGGAAAAATATGTGGAAATTGGAATTTTTTTTAATCCTAAGATTATCATTTTCATATCTATTTTATTATGACTAGAATTTTATTATGACTAGAATTTTTTGCAACATTCTGACATGTGTTGAAATCCTCCCAGTATTTAAATATTGTTGAAGTTATCACTAACATTTTTGTCGAGATTTACAAACTTTATGTTTCATACAATTTTGCAAACCATTCGTTGAATTTGAATAAGCTGATTTGTTTGTAAAAATAATTTAACATTACGCTGTGGTTTTTATGCACCCTAGTAAAACTGTACTTTGTATACCCATAATGTTGTACTTCTCCCCAAAATTTGGTTTCAATTTACCAATGTATAGCTATTTTAGAGGGTGTGACGGACTAACAAAAATCACAGAATTCTATATATAGATTACATGTGTTAGCTTTTGTACTAATGCCTTTAGGAAAGACATGAATTCATGTCTTCTCTCCTAGCTATGATTTAAGTTTTTTAACAAGGCCCAAGAGCCACTCGAGGTAGCGAGTTGCAATGTAAGAGGCATAGTTTATGGGGATATTGGGCAATAAAATGGTTAACCCTAGATTTGAACAGGTTAAGATTGTAGTGATCAGGGAAGCATTCTCTTGAGTGTTGGGTCCACAAAGCAGGGTAAACTAGGCTTTGTTACCTTAGATGGCAACCAGTCTAAGAAAAGGAAAACTCTGAATTCCAAACTTTAGAGAAGGCAACAAGAAATCACTCCATTATCTTAAGAATTCATAGCAATTCACAGATAATACAGAAAAGGAATTTGGGGAAAGCCATGATTGCCTATGTCCATTTAGGACATGACATTTTGAAAAAAAAAAAAAAAATTATTGTTGACATACAAATAAAAACCTTGCATCTAAAAGTGGATACTAATTACATTTTTCTTTCTCGCCAATTTATTTGGTTGTATTTTCTACAGCTTATCTCTTTGCAGGTTATTTAAAGCCAGAAAATATTTTTAGATTATAAGAATTTTCTTTTTGATATAATAATGATTTAGCAATACAAATCTTACAAATTAACCTATAGTTTTAAAGTGTGATAAGAAAAGGAAATTATCAGTCATTATTTTGAAAACTGGCCCCAAAATATCAAGTAGTTAAATTTAATAATGTTGAATTTTCAAAAAAAGCCCATCCTGGTAACTTGGCTTTTACATGTTTTTAGTATACAATATAATAATGCAAAAAAAAAAAAAAAAAAAAGATGGAAGAAAAAGAAATCAATTTTCTTTTTTGATAATAAATACTAAAATAACAAAAATAAAAATGGAAAAACAAATTTATTACACAATAATGTCATTCTGACTTATTTCTTATGATGTTCTCCGTCATTGCCTTTATACTTGTGACGATACTTTATACTTGAGACAACTGTTGGCCGTTTTGGGAAGGCAGTTATTCCATCAAAAAATGTATCAGTTTCTGGATCAAAGCGTATTGCTTCAAGCTGTATGTGTAAGTTTTTAGGTAAGTCAAGTTTTGATAGATCTTCATATGAGGAAGTATCATGTACTGCTGTCTGGAAGAAGTGTACGATGTCTGAAATGCTCGTCATATCGTTCAGGTCAGAGTTAGGAATATTGTGGTCAAATTCATCAATACATTTTGTCAGGAACTGAAACAATAAGAAAAATTAATGAAATTTAAACTAAACACAAAACAATATATCCAAGTATATTTACAAACAGTAAGAATGTGTTTGCATTAAGGTCTTTCTAACTTAATGCAGAACTGTTGCTTGAAGAATCATTATTTCATGTAATGCATTTTGTCCTTTTGGACTTCATCAGACTAAAGTGATGATTATGATGATGCGACTACACATGTATATGAAGGAGAGAGGGATGCCAAAATTTTAAATTTAATTTTTTTTTTAAATATATGTTTCGGGTGTATAGTCTAGCTGATTTTATTTAGTTTCTTTTTGTGTATGTTTTTATCAGTCAGTCAGTTATGTACCATGCTTGATACATGCTTAGGTGATCATGTATCTTTCGATACATGACTGACAAGGTAGATTTTTACTGCAGTAGGTTGCCATTTCTTTCTGCAGTAGACCAGGCTATAGAACCCAGTCTGTCCTGCTATTTACCCATAGCTGGTAGAAGAAGAGGATTCATACCTTCCCCAAGGGTATTAGCATGTAAGTGAATGTAATGGAACTTAGCTCTCCAATTCCTCAATCCAAGCCGTTATCCATTACTCCACTGTATCACTTTTCTTATTAAATATTCCACATTGTGATGATAGAAGATCTGTCAAGGAAGGTGAAGTGTTGTAAGCACCTCAACATAAATTTACTGTAGAAGATCTAGCAATTAAAGCACTTTCTATACATTTTCATTTTAGTAAATTACTTTGTATTAATTCAACTAGCATTTTTAAAATCAAAATTATGACCAGACTCATGGTTAGCAACTATTGCATTGACTATGTTGTTTTGTAAAAGATCCCTTAAAAATTTTTAACCAAATGAAATTATGTAAAATACAATTATTACCAAGAATGGATTAAATTATAAAAAAAAGATTTAATGTACCTTCCTTAGAAGAGATACAAATGGTTGCCTAATAATAGTGGCCTTGTGCCTGACTAGCTAAAGTTCAGTAAATAATATACTCACAGAATGTGCACCAAGTATTTGAGAACACATCTTCAGTAGATCATAAATTAAAGTTGACCTAATAAAATATTATCCAACATGTGTTAATTTTTAACATTCTTTTTGTTTTTTTCTCAGACATATTGAAAGCTTCCAATCTGACACAGGCTGTCAGTCAACAACAGTGAGTAGAAAATATAAACCAGCTAAAAAAAAATAAAGGATAAACACTTTTTGCCTCAGGAAAGCTTGGTTAACTACGGCAGCTGCTTTGAGTGAGTTTGTAGAATGTTGGTTTCAACCTCTGTGAACATCTTCCCCAAATTTATAGACAAAGCTCAGATGCATGCTGGGATTTCTTCCTAACCAATAAAAATGAACAAATTCTCAATGTCATCTGCTATATATTTTTAGTCAGAACACTTTAACCCCTTAACTGTATCCCTTTTAAATGTGAATGCAATTCTTAATTTGTGAACTTTTTACCTTATTACTGTTGCTTTGTCTAATTTTGACTTTAATATATAGTGTTTGCTTAGCATTATTTTTGCTCTGTAGTTTTTCTTCCTTTTTTTTTATTGTTTGTTGAGAATTTTATCAATTACAATCAACCGTGGCCAATTACTCTCCACAGAATATCAAATTTAATTTAAATTTCAATTAGGGTAATACTATTTCCTTCTGACATTGCATAAAGGTCTGCCTACAAAGTGTGCTAAAAAACACTCTTTACTTACCAAAGGAGCACACAGAACTGATTATAACACCTCAAAAGCAGCTACCTTACTAACATAAGCTGACACTATAAATGGCCTGTTTTATACACTTACAGCCTTTGTAATTTTATTATTCAACACTGATTATTAATGTAATTTCCACCTTTATGATAAATATAGAAGCCGGCTTGGCAATAAAGCAAAATAAATGACCAAGTACTGATATCTCTATATAAAAGAGGCAGAAAAGACATTTGATGAGATTGTGCCATGAATCTGGCCTTGAGCCAAACTTATATTTAAATTTTACATAACAGGTAAACTTACTTTGAACTTCAGCAGTCGATCATCTAGCAAAGTCTCTTTCCAGTTTGTGGATTCTTTAAAAAACTCGGATGCAATTTGTTTTATTTTCTCTTCAACATCAGCAGGTGGTTTATAGCCTTTCACTGTCCTCACTGACCTAAAATGTGAAAAAAAAAAAAATGGCAAAAACAAACAGGCGCATAAAACTTGTTAAAATCATGTATGTAAATAACAAGAGTTGGAAAATGTCAGATAAACATTTCATAAATTTAAATGTCAAGGGAAGCTTACTGCAGAATTTGATAAAGTTGAGCTTTGGTTAAAGAAGAGAATTAACCTGAGAAGATCAATAAAAGGTCAACTGTTGATTTTCTGGCAATTGATTGCCTGATAACTTTTTTGATTTGGATAAAATCATGACAGCAGTCTTTTGATCAGTAAGCTGACCAGAAGACTGCAACTGTCCGACCTGTCCTAGAGCCAAAACACTGTATAAGATGAATGTTTATACAGCATACTGACCACCAAAATGTACATTGCTTAAGCAGCCTGAAGAATACTGGGCTCAATGAAAAGCCAAGTATCACTCACTTTTCATGAAACATGACACAGACTGTTGAAAAATTTATCAAAGAATTTAATATGAGAAATATTAATTTAAGTTTCTAACAATTCTAATGCTTTCAAGATATTTGTGGATAAAAGGTAAATTATTATTATTGTGACCTTGGTTGCTTGCTCTAATAAAAAGAATATTCTGACAGGACACTGAAACCAATTGAGGCTTAAAAACAAATTGTAATTTATTTTTTTATTATTCCATTTTATACTTGCATTTTGAATTAAGAAAATATTCAACATGTTATCTAACTTGGTGTAATGGTTAGCAAGCTTGTCTCACTTAGATCAACTACAACTGAGTAGTGAGTTTGATCCTCACTGGGTGCTCTATACTTGCAGCCTTGTGCCATATCTAACCTTATGCTGAGAAAATTCTTATCCAAAAGTGTGAGGAATCTGGACAGTAACTGCAAGCCAGATGTTGTACAGAGTTTAGCTTTTCAACAATGTAAAATATTTTTGCATGGTCAGAATCCTTCAATTTATTTGCCATTACTAATTCACTAATACAACCATCTTCTAAGGTGCACACAGCTTACTAAAAAGTATTATTAAAAAAATTAAAAAAAAATGAAAGAATATGGTCTGACAGATAATAGTTTGGTTTGTTTTGTTTTACAGCATATCAATCACAATGGGTTATTTAATGCTGACAAAATTTTTATTGCTGGTAATTTTTTTTTAATGTATAGCTGGTAATATTTTTTTTTCAAAAATTTATTGCTGTTAGTAATTTTTTACAAAGTATTTCTGGTATTAAAACCTATTTTTACACTTTCATAGTGTTTTAACCCCAGTTTGGGGGTTAACTATTTACCCATAGTTGGGACCCTAACAGGTGCTACCATCCCAGGTCAGAGTGGATCTGGGAACACCAACAATTAAGAGGTGGTTCCACGCTCCTCAAAACCTCCTGATCAGAGGCCTAGCTGTTGGACCTAGTTTATCGTCTTACCCAGGACGTGGATGTAATTTATTGTCTTATCTAGGATGGGGCAGATAATAAATATAAGCATAAAGTCATCATGCAGCATTTAATAATTTAAACATTTTTCTACTATTTTCTTTGTACACCAAATTTATTTTATGTCTCACCAAATTCTATTTCTGTGATTAAACAAAAATGATAAATCTTCAAAAATAAATAGTTTTTAAAACCATAAAATTAATTTTAATTCTTACTAAATGGTGAACAACCAAAATTCTAACCAGTTCATTGGAGTTCATTTCAACAAAAAATCAGAGTAGAAATATATAATTAATACAATCAACAAAACTATGACTTACTCATCTTCCCAATAAAAAGAAAAAAAAATGTTCAGTAATGGTAAAAGGACAGATTAATTGTCGTCATGAGGACCTGCTTGCATCCAAGCATTGGGATCATCATCCTCTCTCCCTATTTTCTCCCCACTGGTTAGTGGTGATGGAAATGGCTGTGAATCAGAGTTTGACATGACCATTTGCATAAATTTGTATGATGGAGAAGACCACACCCTTGGTCAGAAGTGCTTCCCTCATGGCTCAAAGGGGATCAAGACAGGTGAGTTCTGGCAAACCTGGTTACAACAGGCTGTCGGAAGCTTGGTCTGTCAAGATCCACCTTGGTTATGTCAGTCTGACTTGTGCCACTGGTTTGAGATTTTGTAGATCTTTGTCTATTCTACAGTTGGGGTCTTCAGGGGGTTGGCCATGTCTGGTCTCTCCTCCTTAACCTTACTACCATTGGTAGAACACCAAGACAGCTTTGCTCTTGGGATCACTAGGACACACAAGTGCTCTACCATGACAAGGAATGACCACATACATTATACACTGGATGTCAGAGTATAGAGCAATAGGTAAAAACCAATAAACACACAATTTTAAAATTGAACCTACAAGTTTCAAGCTCGTTTTATGAATTCAGATATAAATAATCTGTAAAGACAATATTAAAAGAAATGTCAAAAGGAAAATCTTTCTGAATCAACACGTTTCATTCCTTAAGGAACTTAAGTAATCCTTATATTTATACACAGAAGAAACATAGTGAAAAAAAATAAGATTCAGTGTTCAAATTTTGATGTTGTAATTGCTGTAAGTGAGAGAATTGATTGATTTTTGTTTTACAGCTTATCAACCTTTTGTGGATTATTTAAAGCCGAAACATTTTGGAGTGTAAGAATAATTCTTCTTTTGTAAGGGAATATTGCATTAACAATCTTTCAATAATTTTTCCAGATACAAGTCCTACTATTTAACCCATAGCTGTAGAAAGGAGATGGATTCACATCTTTCCCGAAGATATTTGTGAATAAGTGAATGTAATGAACCTGACTGGAATTTGAACTCGACTCTCCAATTTCTCATTCTGAGCAGCTATCCATTACACCACCTGCACATCCCTGTAAGTGAGCAGAGGAAGAGTGATTAAATGTAACTTACGTTCTTTTCTTGAGTGATGATGTTCGACTTAGAGCTGAAGGACCATCAACTTCAGGATTAATCTTTCTGACTTGTGTTTCATCATCATTTGGTAATTCTTTCTGCTTACTATCAAAAAATGCAGTTCTTATGGATGTCTTAAAATAAAAGAAAAAAGAAATGATTTCTTGGTAATTTATGTAATTAGATTTAATTTCTGATAATATTGAACTTTAGGGTGTAGGCAGTCAGTCATGGTTCTCCACATCTTCTTTTACTTTAATATATCTATACTGTACATTGCTATAACTGTTCTTGAGAAAGATAGATTTCTTTCCTGTTACATTTTCCACATGCTTGAATTCTGAATTGTCTTTTTCTCTTAGACTTGGTTGCTAACCAAGTCTAGGGAGACCAGTCTACCCAGCTATTACTCCCACAGAGAAAAAATATGAATTCATGTCTTTCCTGGGGGACATAAGTCCAAAATGTACACACAAGTCTATGCTGGAATTTGATATTCACAAGCCAATTCCATTTTCTGCACCAATAATTATTATTCCACCTGTACATTTTATGTAATATATTTATCCTAAAACATTTTGCAATCACTAAGTTATTGTGGTAATCATTTTGTCTGGATGTTTTGTCAAGGCAATAATATGATTAGCTCTGCAATCATATCATTAAAAATTGAGTGACTATTTAAAATATTAGGATTAAAATAAATAAAATGGCTAAATTTCCCTTTTTTCACAGTATTAAAATGTTTGCTGAAAAAGATTGATTTGTATGTTATTTGAAAATTAAACATTACCATGATGATAGAGCAATAACCTCTTTTGGAGAGAGAATAAGGCATTCATATTTGACAACAATGGCTACCCTTAAATATAGTGGAAACAAAAATAAAAATTATTAGCATCACATTAAAAAGAAAAAAAAACAACTAAAAATATTACAATACAAACATATTAATTTCCTGTGTAGATAAAGACTAGAGACCCTTATTTCATAAAATAATAAAAAAGTGATGTGATGATGTAATATTCTTTGTTGAGAAACAAATCTTATACAATAAATATCTTAGTTAAAACATTGGAATTCAAAAAATTGTTTTAAAAATTTCTAGTGTCATGGGTCACTTAAAATTTAGGCAGAAAATATCAATGACTAGCTGTTTAACCTAACAATGCACATTTTTAAATCTAGTATTAACTGTAAAAATTAAATTAAAAATTCAGTATTAATTATAGGCCTCTAACCCATTAATGTCCACCATCCCCAAAATGGGTTAAGAAACTCGCAAGTAGGAGTTATTTTTAGAATAACCCACATTGAATGTGTATGTACGTATTAAATTGTATCTAAGCACCACATTTTTTTTTATCAAAGATAAATAAACACAAGGCATATGTTCATTCATAGTTGTCATTTTGAAGTGCCTTAGCAAAACAGTTCTAAACAAGAAGTTAATGTTATTTCTTGTCTTCTAATCTTAAGTAATTCCCTGAATCTATGTTGAATGCTGATAGAAGGTACAATAAGGTATATTATACCAGATTTAAGGTAAGTATTAAATAACTGGAAAGAAGAATAAAGTAGTAGCATAAAGAACAAACTATTTTTTTTTACTTGCTGCACAAGGATTAATATATTCTTTTTTGTACAATGTTGCTAGCATTGGTTTTAATTTCTGCATATGAAACATTGAATTACGTCCCTTAGATTTCTTTTCATGATAAAAAAGGTTGGACCTATCTACGTAGGATAGGAGATGACCTTTTTGTTATATCAACATTTTTTATTTTAATCATTCATATTTCTTTTACAAATTCTGAACTTATTGATCACAAAAGTTGAATCAAATTTGAATTTTGATAAATCATGCATCAGTTAGAATAGTGTCAGAAATTATATTTCTGAAAAATTAATGGACTCATTTTTTTAATCTTAAATTTTTATTACTTCACATGTTAGTGGATACTTCATATTTGAAATAGACAACCTATTTTTATTTGTAGGTACCTCCATGAAATTGCTAAAAAAATCAGCATACCACAATGAAAACATAGTTTTATTGTCAAAATCTTTGTTATAATTAAGAGGAAGGATCTAAGTATTTTTTGATTATTTCATTAAATTTTTTACTCTTATTTAGAACATTCGAAATTTTTATTAAAAAACTTGTTTTTCTTGTGTCAGTGGTTGTATTAATTTTTACCACTGCAAATTTTAGCCTCTTTTTTTTGTAATGACACACACATTAATTTGGAAATTCTTGCAAAAATCAAATAATTGTTGGATTTTAATTAAATTTTTACTTCTTCACAAACAAATAAAATTATTTTTTAATTTTTTTATTAGAAAATCTCAGTAAAAATATTTTTTTAACGCGTTTCCATCCCCTTACTTAATTTTATGAAAACTTGAATGTCACTGAGATAACTTTTATTGACTATATTAGTTAAAAGGAGAATTCTTTGAAGAATTTAAAATCACCAAATTGTTCTTGCAAAATCAGACCTAGTCTTACTGAAAATCTGTTCTGAATTGAAAAATAAAAACTTTATAAAACTAAGACATTATTTAATTAAAAGCTTTCAATTTCTTTTATGAGTAATATATATTAAAGACAATATTGTCTGATGAAAAATGAATTTTTACAAGATTTGTTTTCATTTTTTTTACAACTTTAAATTGAATAATTTATAGTGTTTAAATCTTTTAAAATTCATTTTCAATGTAATAATTCTTAGGAAATATTGTTATTAAGTAAAACTATATTTACTAATCATATATTGTAAAGCTTATCATAATTTTTCAACCCCAAATATTTTTAAAAGAATTTCAATTTTTTTTTGTATATGTGATTATGTGCAGAACTTCTGAAGTATATAGTATATAGTACAAGCCAATAAATCTCGCATAAAAGGGTCAAATGTTTTAAGGGTTGTTTCCCCTTATGTTGGAAAAAACTTTATCATCTGCTCCACCTTACTTAACTATGTACATGTTTGGTTGTCAATTAGATGTAAATAAGTTGATTAACATGTCAGAAAAACAAGATCCCATAGTTAAAAAATGTTTGTATACAACATTTTATACTATAAGTAAGTAGTATTTGTTTCAGATCAGATTAATTAACTTTGCTAATTTTCCTCAAATAACATTTCAGAATTTATTTATTTATTTTTGCAAGATTTTTTTAAGAAAAACTAACTTTTATTTAAATCGGTGTTCCCCAAGCAAGGCAGTACAGCCACTAACAAACAAGAGGTTATAGAGTGTGGAGGAATTAGGAACAGAAACATGAGTAGAAAGAGAAAAGACCATTCAGGAGGACAGTAGATAGCGATTGGCATTACATTTAAATTCTTGCAGATTAAAGTTGGCTGGAAAGCATGGAGCCGGAAGGGAGATCCACAAGTGAGAAAAAAAAAAACAAACTGTTAGTGTAGAAGTTACAGCTACATCTAGCTAGCTCAACTGTAAATTGATGCAATCTCACTGCCAGTCTAGTATTATGCTTAAACACACACAGTCCAGGTACCATTGCAAAGAGCTTATCTGAACACTTACCATGAAAGTATTTGTGTAAAAAAAAAAAAAAAGCACACAGAGAAAATCTTACAGAGCAGTGGGCAAGTGACTGAAGCCAAACTACCAGATCAGGACTAATAATATTGCTGATTGTTCTTTGGATCTTATCAAGGAGCTCCAAGTAAATTGCAGGAGCACTAGACCACATATAGCAGCAATATTCTAAGCATAGATGAATGGTAGATTTATAGATATACAAAATAGATTCAGGAGAGAAGAAATTTCTCGTCTGACACAGTGAACCAACTTTCTTCACAGCTGACCTAGCAATGGATTTCATATAGTCTTTCCATTTCATGTCAGCTGAGAATGTTAACCAGAGAAGGCACTACAAGCCACTTTCCTGGAGGATAGCATCAGCCATGCAGATGGAAGGCAGAGAGGGGTTTCTCAGATGATTAATAGAGAGAAGTTTAGTTTTAGAGGTGTTAAAATTGACAAGCTAACTATTGCCCCAGTTAACAATGGTCTTGAGGTTGTTTTGTATTTCAGCTGCCACTTTGACCTTGGACTGTTCAGCCTTAGTATTGAGGCAGGAGTAAATGGTAGTATCACCAGCAGAGAAGCCAAATTGAGAGCTGATGTCATCAGGAAGTTCTTTAATGAAAATTAAAAACAGCACAGAACCAAAGATGGAGCCGTGTGGGACACCTGAGTTAGTATGAAAGGATCTAGATGAGTGGCCATTCAGGATAACTTTCATTTCACAATTTGATAGGAAAGACAGGATCAGCTCAAAAATGTGCCCAGAGATACTGTAACTTTTCAGCTTGTGTAGAAGACCTGAATGTCAGACCCTGTAAAAGGCTTTCAAGATGTCCAAATCTACAGACCATGCTTCACCATTTTTATCTAGAGTACAATAGGCTCTTTGCACAATTATCGTTAGTACAACAGCAGTTGACCTAGAGATATCAAAACCATATTGGTTGTCTAAAAAAAAAAACAAAAAAAAAAAAAAACAGCCCTGAAATGAGAGATGATGAACCAATTCAGAATTGATTAGGGCCTCTAGGAATTTCCCCAAAATAGAGGACTAATAGGTCAACAGATGGGTCAGATGGTTCACCAGAGTTCTTAAAAACTGGAACAACATACAATGTCTTCTAGCAGGCAGGAAAGCAGGAGGCAGCAAGGCATTTATTATGCAGATTAGAGGGAACAGGAGCCAGTTTGGGAGGAGAACACTCCTTGATGACTATTACAAAGATACCATCAGATTTCCAGGAAAAAAGATTTTATGCTGTAGAAATTAGAATGGATACCACAAATCAATTTTTTTTTGGGGGGGGTCTGTTAGCTGGTTTTAGTTTTATTTATTTTTGTTGTACTTTTCATGAGATATGTTTTGAAGAGAAAGGAAAAAGACCACCATAGTAGTCATTACCTGTCGTCAGTGTCAATACAGACCAGCCAGTGCGCAGCTGAGAGAGAGCAGAGCATAATGCCATTATTTTGAAAAAATTTCTTTAGTGACACCATGTGCCTGAAGAAAGTAGGTGTAAAGAGCAGCGGAGAATTTTTAGGAGCCTGGAACGGATCGGAAATATTCTCATTAATTTCAATAGAGGAAACTTGATTTGAGATACAAATCTTTTGAGTCATGAGCTCGATCGTGGAACGAATTTGTATCTCAATTCATTACTGTATATATTATATAAAATACATTCCATTTCTAACACTACTGTTTATTTTATTTCTGATGCATGACTATGAGTCTCAGTGGAGATATATAAGGGAGGTAATTCAGTCTTTTTTTGTCTTCAATAATGGGTTAAGATCTTAAAAATCGACACTGAGTATTTAAAGGGTGTTCTTCTCGGTACATTTCTTGATTAGAATTTCATTGCTTGAATTAATTCTATGACAGTGTATTTTTTATAAAATACTCTTCTTGTTGAATATATGAATATTATTCTGTTTCTTCTTTCCTCTAGTAAGCCAAAGAGATAAATAAAAATAAAAAAATCAAGACAAGGGAGACAACTCTAAACCATTTATTAGATAACTTTTTCATTTTCATTTTTAATAGTTACCTCCATAGATTCGCTAAAATATAAGCATGCGCGATGAAAAAAATGCCCCAAACTTAATAAGAAAACAAAGTTTTATCGGCAAAATTTTTATGTCAATAGTAAGAGGAAAGTACATAGGATATTTTTATTATCAAATTATATTTTTTGATGCAATAATACTAATAGATTATTTAACTAGAAAAGTTTCTATTAATTGATTTTATGAATAAGATATATTATGTATACTATTGTTTTAAGAAAAAAATGTTTTTCTGATGAATAATGAACTTTTACAAGAATCGTTTTATTTTTTTTTTTACTTTTAATTAGAATAATATCTTACGTTTTAAATTCTGTATTAATTTTTACTGATTAGGTGATATTGTTATTAAGCAAAAACTATACTAATTATAAATGGAAAAGCTTACTACAATTCAGCAACCACCAGTATTTTAAAAAGAATATTGAAATTTTTTTTTGCGTGGGTATAAATGTGCCAATTTTTGTAAATATGAATGTATATACACAACATTATCAGAAAAATAAGAGTGGTAACTGTAGTAAATTTAAAATTCAGTAAAACATTATATTACGGGGAATATTTTCCTAAATTTTCAAGATTACTGAGTAGTTAAAAATTTATAAAAAAGGTGCTCTTAATATAGTCATCAAGTAATTTTTAGAAATATGTTTCCTGTAGAAAAAAAAATGAGATAAATTTGCAGTTGTCAATCTGGAAACACCTACCTCTGTGTTAAAAAAATGCATTTCTGTGATACTTTAAACTAAAAGTAATATTTGTTTCAAATCAGATTAATTAAACTTTAAATCAGCTAATACTCCTCAAATAAAGTTTCAGAAAAGTATATTTTATTTTTGAAAGAGTTTTTAATCAACAGAATTACATTGTACCGACAGATGGCTAAAAATGGCTAAAATCAGCAATTTTTAATGATTTAAATAAAAAAAAATTCCTTCCAGTCAATTTAAATTAGTTTAGAAATACAGCAAATATTTTGCTCATTGGAAATATTAAAATTAATCAATTAGCTTGAAATTAAAAGTAAAATTAAAGCTTCAAGAGAAATTTTTCATTTTGAAAAAATCATTTTAAACATTAGGGATCACATTTCATAATACCATATACCATATGGTTTTAAAAAGTGATAATTAGAATTTTAATAAAACCTTCACATATAAAAGTGACTTTATACATTTTTTTTAACCTTGAGAATTTACAACAAAAATAATAATATTTATTAGATTATTTACAAGAATAATTTTATATTTACAACATTCTAAAAACTAATACAATTATATTAAAACTAATGCAATATTTATCATTTACCAGTTTATAAGGAAATAAATATGAAAACAATTTTTGATTCATAAATTTATAAACACTTATTAAATTATTAAAATATGTGAACCAACTATAAGGAAATCCTTATTATTTACTATTTTATAAAGTTCAAATTGATTGGTAATTAGCTGATGTTTTGTGAACCGTTTTAATAAGCAATACAATAAATAGTATAAATAAACAATCTTTCATCAAGTTTAGGTTTTATTACAATTCTAATCATTACTTTTTAAAAACCATAAACATTGCAGAGGAGTGAAGGTAGTTAAAATAACAGCAGTGTCAAAGGAAAACCTGTACTTTTGACACTGTTTTTGAGGGCATGAAGAGCAAAGTTTGCTCTTCATTCTTTCTTTTTTTTTTGTAAATAAGTGAATTAAAGAGATATAAACAGACAATGGAAAAATGCTAACCTTTTTTCATTACAAGACATTTAATTTTAGACCTCACCACAGACAACAATAAATTTAGATACCCTCACAACACTTGTATTAAGTTATGGTTTCAGTGACAGTTTAATAAAAAGTTGCAAGAAAGGCCTAAACATCAAAATGTAAGAAGTTAGAATGTATGGTTGTCTTCAAAAGGAACAGTTCAAAATGTGAACTGTGAATTAGAGACACTAAAATCAAGCAAGTACAAAAATTAAAATATCTAGAAAATGTTTTAACAAAGGACAGAAAATGCAACACTGAAATTCAAAGGTGCATTGAGATGGTGAAAAAATGCCTTCCAAAAGCTAAGCAAAATATTAAAAAACAGGAAAATTTCATTAAAATAAAAAAAAAAGATATCAGTTTTTCTTATATGGCAGTGTATGTTGGACAATCTTGCAGCTGAAGAAGAGACATAAATGCTGTTCTACAGGAGGATGCTGAGAATACCATGGACTGAACATGTGAACAATGATGAAGTTTTAGGGAAAAAAAGGAAACAAAAAAGGAAACTTTATACTTAAAATCGGAAAGAGACAGTTGATATTTCTAAGGCACATAATGAGGAAAGACGGCTTGGAAAATTTAACACTCACAACTACTGTACAGTGTACATTGAAACCAAGAAGGACAGAGGAAAGCATCACATAACCTACTTAACATGATTGTGTAAATGATTGGTAGAACATTGGATTAAGAGTCAGAGAAATAGAAAAAAAAAACAGAAAGAAAAACAAACACTGCCGAGAGCAATAAATGAGAGGAAGTTGTGAAGAGGCATCGCCAACCTACTGAAGGACAAGGCATAAGTAGTAGAAGACTAAGAGGGTTATATAATTTTGAGATGTATGTAAGCCTTTCTACTTGATGAGTGTCTAGTATTTTTCACTGGACAATAAAAATAAATACACACATATCACACCGCTGTCCATTTAAAAACTAGTAGTGTACATATTCTAATCTACAGTCTACAAATGTGCACGGTGTTGTATTTCATTTGTAATGAGTTTCTATTGTAAACAACTAAAAACAAAAACCGAGAACGTGTTTGTTTTTCAATTTCAAATATATTTTTTGTGTGGCGACTTGGATTGTGAAGATTATTCTATGGACTTTTTAAGCATTAATTAGATTAATTTTTATTTTAATTTAAAAAAAAAATATTAAAAATTTGTTGTGTTATTTTTTCCCAGTTTTTTAACACTGAACTCTAAAAACATAAAATTATGTTTTACCATAAGTTTAACTTTCTATTTATTTAAGAGTAGTCCAAAGCACAAATAATGAAGCGTAACAGACTTTACAATAAATTAATTTAATATTTATTTGATACGACTAAAAAAAAAAAAAAAAAAGAAGGAGAGTTGAATTTGAATAATACGTAATTCACGCGTCGAGGGTAAATACGGGTCAAAGAATGAAAAAGAATTTAAAATAGTGTAAACGAGAATAATAAATACAAAATTGCTATGAAATGAACAGCAACATTTTATCTTCTTACCCGAATCAGTGACTGTTGCCTGTGATTTCCTGACACGGCGAGTCCTTCCAAAATAACATGAGAGAGAGACGTTAACCTTGATCGTAAGACAGCCATTTTGATTTTGACCCAGACAAAACTAAGCGCACGGTATATAATTGTAAGTAATCAATTAGTCATTCCTAACAGAATCCACACGAAACCTGATCGGAAAAACTTTTTCTGCGTATAAAAGATTAAAAAGAGAGGCTAAATAAATTTTACGCTTCGTCGCATGCCTTTAATAACTTTCATGCAAATCTTTCCGTAATATGAAACTAGTTAAAAAATATGAGCGATAGGAAAGTCGATTAGGTATCGCGGAAAAAAAAAAAACATTTGTCTCAACTACCGTTTGTTTACCGGGCACCGTAGGTAGTGGTGAACTATCGCTCGCTTACAAATTAACTTTTTATTTGTATATTAATTTTTTAAACGGAAGAATTGGATTAAATTTCATATGGGTGGTTCAGGGTTACGTTTTTTATTCCATCTGTTTTTATCGACATTAATTTATTATTTTTGTCATTGTTGTTTTAATCAATTGTTTTTGTGTAAAAAAAAAAAAAATACGCCTACGCTAATTTAGCTGTTTTGCTAAAATAAAAAAGAAACAACAACAAAAAAAAAAAAAAAAAAAAAAATGCTGCTTTTGGCTATTGGTGCCGCTTTTCCTTATAAATGGGTGATAAATGATCGCTACTGCTTTTCTCGGTGTGACCGGTAAACGGTACCCGAGCAAAAAAAAAAAAAAAAAAAGTAGAAAATTTCGTAAATTTGGAGATAATGTCCCTGTGACCAATTTTAAAAAATGTATTATTCCTAGTGTAAAAAAAAAAAAAAAAAATAACCGGATTATTACAAATTTAGCAATAAAAATTGAGGAAACTCTACACTACAATTTAGGTACTAGGAGATATTACCAATCTTAGTTGGGTCCCAGCTCGATTTCTGTTGCTGAAGTCAATCCCTCACCATACCGAGCGCCTTCACAAATCCCTGACAGAGGCGGCTAGACTGTTGGGGTTACCAATGTTGTATGCTAATCTAACGTCGGTGGATACCAATGTAATTAGTAACGGGTGTTTGGTTGAATAGATAAATGTGGCTGCGTGTTGAATAAGCATTTAGCATTCATACATAATATTTACAAACATCAAGGAAAAACAATGAAGAACCAATTTGTTTCAACGAATAAACATATTAAAATCAACAAAAAATACAAGGTAGTTGTATAATGTGTGAATAGGGGAAAAAAAGTAGTTTCTCTTTATCTGTTAGGAAATGTTTTTAAGCAAGTTTTTCTGAGTATAATGTTCAGAGTTCTGTGTTAAAATAGAATATATCTTCAGAAGATTGTTCACTTGTGTTTGTAACTAACAGAGTTGATTCAACTTAGTTTGTTCACAGAGAACCGATGGTTTATCACATTAAGTTCTGTATCTGTGTGTATGTACGTGCGGAGTGAGTAGGATGAATAACACGAGTGAGTAGTCGAGATCTATTGTCTCTGCTTTGTACTCTACTGTGGTACTGGAACTACTACTGGTTTTTGGAATGCATCCAATATTTATATTACTATGGGTGGCTCCCAGCACGAACGCGGGATAAATTTTGAAGGTATACGAAAAATACTCGATTGGATGAAAAATGAACCAATCGGTGATTTTATAACAAAACTTGTTTGTGAGCAAACTGTAGGAAAAAATTCAGTGTGATGAAATGCGATCGGTAAATTGTCTTACTATTTTTAGTATATATTAATCGACCAGTCACAGCTGAAGAATTATAGGTGTGGCACTACAGAGTTTCCTCCATTTTTATTGCTATTTTTTGTAATAACCAGAGTTTTTTTTTTTTTTTTTTTTTTTTTACACCAGGAATGCATTTTTTAAATATTCGTCACTGGGGCATTATCTGCAGATTTACCGAAAATTTATATAAACAGAGTTAACTGTTAACTTTTTCAGTAAAGAAGAGTAATTATTCAAGCACCGGAGAAAGAAAATCATACGTACGCTGTTGTTGAGCGTATGGGCAATAACCCTTCTACCGCTCCTCTGAAGGAGAAGTATAGCCTGAAGAGAAGGTCCCCTGGGCTTGGTCTTACTTAATATTTTTTTTTAACTTAAGTGTATGTGTTTGCCGGCATGTGTTTGCCGGCATGTGTTTGCCGGCATGTGTTTGCCAAGTGGGCAGTTAACTGCAGGTGCCACCCCAAAATGGTTGCTTTTTTTTTCCAAAATGAAAGCAAGAAATCATTACCCACTATTTTAAAATATTTGCCAAAAATCAGTGAATTATCCGATTTAAATGTAATTTCCTGTACCTATTCATTAATGAATGACGGAAGTGTGAGTTTTTCTTAGAGAAGATTAAGCACTTGGGGCAAACAATTGACAAAGACGGAAAACGTCCCGACCCAGATAGGGCAACGGCAATAAAGAATATGCCAGCACCAGAAAATATGTCGGCTCTTCAAAGTTTTTTAGGTTTTGCCAATTATTACAACGTTTTTATCCCAAGAATGCACAGTTTGAGAGCTTGAATTATTGAGAAAAGATAAAGAGTGGGAATGGACAACCAAATGCCAGGAAGCATTTGAGAAAATAAAGGAGGTCCTTACATCAGATCTGACTCATTACAATCCAAACCATGACATCATTGTAGCCAGCGATGCTAGTTTCTACGGCATCGGGGCGTGCATTTTACACAAGTTAAAGGATGGATCGGTAAAGCCAATCGTCCATGCATCTAGAATGCTATTACCAGGTGAAAGGAGGTTACTCGCAAATAGAAAAGGAAGCTTTAAGAATCATTTTTGCGGTAACTAAATTTCATAGATTTATTCATGGAAGGCACTTTGTGTTGCAGACAGACCATCTTCCACTCCTTACTATCTTTGAATCAAAAAAGGGTCTGCCAACACACACTGCTAATTGACTGCAAAGATGGAGAACCATTCTCCTCAATTATAACTGGAGTTTCTCCCATCCATTAAAGTCTGTTATGCAGACGGCTTGTCTAGATTGATACCTAAGTATGCTGTTCCCCTGGAAGACAGCCATTGCTGCCATAAAAACAAAGGTCGAAATAAAAAGTACCTTGTGCATTACTGTCAGGGAGCTTCCTATAACAATTGACGAGATAATAGACAAAGTGTCCGATGATGAGTTCATAAAGGAAGTAAAGGACAAACTAAATAGTAAAGACCAGAATATCTCAGTAGTTTACTCACTCTGTAATGACATACTAATCTACGGAGAGAGAGTAGTAATCCCATCTACACTACAGAAAAGAACATTAAAGGAATTCCATGTTGGCCATCCGGGAACTTCAAGAATGAAGAGTCTGATGAGGAGTTACGTCTACTGGACCAACATGGACAAGGGTATGAAAACACTGTAAGATCGTGCAAAGAGTGTGCTTTGGCTGCTAAAGTACACCCGATAAAATTCAATCCCTGGCCTAAAACCTACCATCCGTGGTCGCGGATACACATTGATTTTGCTGGCCCACTTGATGGTTTTTACTACCTTGTAGTATCTGACAGTTATTCCAAGTGGCCAGAAATATTGAAATGTAAGAAGCCGACCGCGGATGTGACAGTAAAGTTTTTGCACAAGCTATTTTCCCGTTTCGGAGTTGTTGACTGTATCGTAACAGACAATGCCACACAGTTCACATCCTGTGAATTTAAAGATTTTTGCCAGTCATTCCCGATCGTACATATTACCACGGCGCCATATCACCCAGGAAGTAATGGACAGGCAGGGCATTTTGTTGACACTTTCAAGAGAGCACTGAGGAAGGCGAGAGGTACTCCCACCGATACGGCTATACAGCAGTTTTTGCAGGTCTATCGTGTAACCACTAATAGCAGTGCCCCATCTGCCAAGACGCCAGCGGAGGTCATGTTTGCCAGGAAAATAAAATCGGCATTTGACAAATTCCTTGTGAGTGAAACGAAAACGGGAAATAGAAATAAAGTGCTTAAAAAGCGCTTTAAGATCGGTGAAAAGGTTTTTTTTTTTCGTGTATTTGGGAATAATAAAGCTCACTGGGAGATAGAAACAATAGACAGACAAACTGGTAAAATGATTTACATGGTTCAGGGACCGAAGTTTATGCACAAACATCATGTAAACCAAATTAGAAAATGGTATGAAAGTGTAGTCGACAGGGATCCTATAGAAGATGACAGTATGGACGTCATCTTTGACACGTTTGAGGTTCCAATAACGCAATCGGTGCCAGAGCTCAGAAGGCCCAAAAGAAAAAGGAAATTTACGGAACCTTTAGAAATTAACCCGAAAAGAAAAAGATATTGAACATCTTTCATTTCATACCATGTCTACAGAAAAAGGAAAAGAATGAGTAAAAAAACCTATCTCCTTACTAATGAACTTTGAATTACCAGAACAGCACAATACGCATTGGATTATTGGAAGTTATTAACATTATAATTTACCATTAAAATTATCCAATTTTTCATTATTTAGGAATAATGAATAGAGACCTTAATAAAAAGGGACTGTTGTTAACACGTAAAACTAAAGAAAAACAATTGTGAACGTAATTTCTGTATATAGCTTTTTCAAGTGGTTGTTTCTAATTTTTTTGTGGAAAAGGCTGTATTTGGTTGAATAAAAAGTATTGTGTGGTAATTATATATATAAAAAAAAGACTCCATACGGAGTCAGGCTGAAAAGGAGGGTGTTGTAGTGTCCTCCCTCTAAAGAGTCTATGTTGGACTCTTCCACCTACTATAAGATTAGTAGGAGAGAAGGCCTTGGGGGGAACAGTCGACCAGACTGTTCGTAACTGTCGAACTCTCTGCTTCGGCAGAGAAGAACGCGGACGAAGCTTTGCCGAAGGGCAAAGTTTCGTCCGGGGAGGTAGACAGGCCTTGAACCCGTTTATGCGGGTTCTAAGGGAATATTTTTGGCCGAGCCTACGGGCTCGGAGAACCCACGGTAAACTCGGCTTTGTGCCACATACATCCCTCGTTGGGGGGGGGTGCTGTTAAATATAACAGTCGAATAGATTGAACGCTGGGTCATCTGACACACAATCAC